TATAGTCATTTTTTTTAGTGATATGGGTGCTAAGTTCACAAAGGTTCGTCTCGACACGAGACGATTCGTTACGACCGGCTGATGCGCCGTCGCTCGTCGATTAACCACGTCCTACCGGTTTTCCGGATGGTCATACCCACAAAACGTAACGGTTCAATCGGCGTTGACCACCGAGGGCCTCACGGTCGGAGGACCGGTTACTCGATTCTCCGTAATTTGACATCAAGCTTTTGTAGAACAAGACACATCGAGATAGGCGCGGTCATCGAGATGGTTTTCACTCTCTCGCGGGGCTCTACATTTTTACTATTAATTTTTTATTTTATTATTAAATTATATATATATATATATAATTTGTTACGAGCATCCTTATCAATTATAAACCTACCTACGCTACAAAATATTAAATTTGTTTTTATAGTAAATAGTATAGGCATAGTAAATTTATTTTTATACATGATATATTTATATGTTATTCTTTTTTCCGTTTTATCGGATAACTGAAATAATATTAACTTAACGCGATAAGATTATTCGGTGCGAGTTTTATTTTCTTTAGTGAGGGACGTGAAGTTTCGCTTTCGGAGATATCGCGCGATTAATTTTGTTATACATAGTTTGATGAATCACGATCACGCGCGTTCCGATGTTATAGTCTCTTTCTTTTTCACCGTCGTTTCCACCAAGAATGATGACCCTGAAATAAACGAGCGAGCCCGCTAGCCCATGACGCAAATCTAATTTTCGTTGATTGACGCAAAACGAGTGGGCCGTGATAAATCGCGATGGGTCCGTCCGATTAAAACGCATGAAGGGTAAGAGGGAGAGGTAGGGAGACCCCGCGTTCAGCCATCTGTGACAAATCAGTTTTTCGTACGGCGGAGCGACAGGTTGGCTGTCGTTCGACAATCCAAGAGCGAGAGCCAATTTTTTTGCTATGTATACATACGTCGATAAACGGCGCAACCGGTGTCACTTTGCCGGCTCCGCAGAAGTGGCTTCTGTCTCCGGAGCCGAGCCGAAGGACACAGGTTTGAATATAAACGAATGGCTGTTCCAGTTGCGAGTTCCCGTATCGACGTAAAAAGACCGCGTTTGTCTCTATAAGAGAGACAACACACGCGCGCACAACCGCGTAGAAACAAACGCTTTGTATGTTTCAACCCTCGGCGCACGCAACACGCGAGATCGCCGAATGAGTCACTGACACATGCGGGAGCCGCGTATACGGTGATGATCGTGAATCGAGTGAAATTCCGCGGATGCGTCGCTGCGTTTCGGCGAAGCCGGCAACCGCACATAAACACACACACACACACACACACACCGTCGCGTCATCGCGCGCGTGTGCGTATGCGTGTACGCGCGCACGTGCGCGCCAATTCCCGTTTCATCCGAACGTGAAACCCCGGCACGCGTGCCGAAGTGCGAGGCCCCGCTAATTCGAACGGAGAAAGGCCCGTCCGTCGGGGCGACGCGCGGCGAACGGACGAGAATGGACAACAGACGTGAGTCATGCAGCGTGCGTCTCACCTTCGCACCAGTGTCGTCCACCAGGGACGTAGACTGTTTCTTTTTTTTTTTTCGCGTGTAAACCCCCACGGTGATGGTAGTCTCGCCTGCGTAAACATTCTGACGAATGTTTGTACGTCGCAGACAAGATATGCTGACGAAACTTTAAAACAAAGGTATAAGAGAATTTTAATTAACCTAACTGTGAACATGTCACGGACAGTGGATGCGGAGTTAATTTTGCTTTATTTTTTTTCCTTGAAAAGAAAAGAAATAAAAACAATTGCTTTTCGCTCTGTACACGTATTTCCTGCTATTTTATTTTTCCTCATTAATTGTGCAATACAATTTTTATTTCTTGGGAAAAAAAAACATTGATCAAAATTACAAAATAAGTGGCAGAAATCTCAGATTTCATATCATAGTTAAAGATTATAATTATATTTAGCAGATGTAATTTTTTTTTTTAAAGACTGTTATATTCTTTAAATTTTCTGGAGTGAATCTCACTCCAAACGATGGAAAATACTGCCACTCGGCTATTTGAGTGGCAGTATTTTCACTCTTTTGGAGTGAAATTCACTTCAAAAGAGTGAAAAGTCACTCCAGAAAATTTAAAGAGATAGGTAATTTTTTTAGATAACGTTTTATTTTTAAAAATTAAAAAGAAACTCGGTATCAACTGTGTATAAATACGTCTTACGATGAGATATTTGTGTCCCTAATTGCAGTGATAACGATGAGCTTACGAGCATAAAAATCGCTATTATGCACTCTTGGTGTCTCGACGTCGTAAACTAAAATCCCGATGAATTAACTTCGCGCGCGAAAGTACGTTCAATAAAACGCGCCGATTCGCCTCATCTATTTTCGCTCGTTTTTAGGTCATTACACCGCGACTTATCTCGCCACCCGTGTGATATCTCTCTCTCGTAGGCGTTATGTACAATAACAAGAAGCGAACGTCAATGGAAGTATCGCGCGCGAACGACAGATTGTTGAAAGTAGACAGTAATTCGCGATATATTTTGTCTCATTTTTTTCCCTGTCGATTTTTATATTCCGTCGGAGGGCTTTCTATAGAAAAATAAATGAGGGTGTGCGAAAGCTCAAAGCTGACGAGCTCCTTTTCGTGCGTCGCGCGATATCGGGATGAATTGGTGCCTACTATTCAGTCCGAAAATTATGGTCGTGATCCTCATCACGCCCTTCGTGGAGGGCGGTGGAGAGGAAAGAGAGGAGGCGCAGAGACGGACAATGCAAAGAAATGTCGGGAAAATCGGCCGGCTCGGCTGCGCCCTGATCAAAAGAGTCTTTGAAGCGCACGGGAGGGAGGAAGGGGGCGGAGTAGAGCCGGGTTACTATTTTTCGCCACTCTTTCATCCCCTTACGGGACGAAAATACACATGATGGCGCGCGCACACACATACACACACACACACACACACAGTCCCAGAGCGGATGCCGCTGGAAATAAGACGCGGAAAAGTTTCCCCGAAAAAAAGAAGAAGCGAGAGAAGTGGTGATGAGGGATGTGCGCGAACGCGTGTGTCTCGCCGAAACGAGAGACACACTAGTCTGGTGCACTACTTCCGGGCTCCTCTTCTTCGTAACAAACTCTCCTCTCTCTTCTCTCTCTCTCTTTTCTCTCTATCTTTCTCTAGTGTGCGCTCCACTTTTTTGAAAGGAAATTTCCACACGAGGCGTAGCAACTATATAACTAACAAAGCACCGAGAGAATAATTCCGTGTCCCGTAAAGTTAATCAGCTCGCTAGCAATTTTCTTTTTAACGTCGTTTCAATCTAGTAACGTGAGGGAAAATATATAGTGTCAGCGAGAAAAAAAACGTATTTGAAAAAAAACTTTTTATGTGATATAATGAACATTATTTCTACTAAAAAACCAAATATCCAAATCTGTGTTTTTAATAATAAAATTACCAGAATCATTAAAATTTATTAATGTTATAAATTATATATACATAAATTATATAGTATTATAAAATATAATATGAAACATATATATATATATATATATATATATATATATATGTGTATATATATA